TTTTGCATAATTTAATGGTAAAAACTTTGCTCAAAATCCTATTGTACACAATCAGATATACCTGATAACAGCCAGTAGAACACTACACAAAAAATAATCTTGAGTTATCGCGTAGTAATAAATTATTAATATCAAAAATGTATTTCTTTTATTTTCTTTTTACATATTTTGTTAAAAGGGCAAATAAGGAATTCAAACCAAAAAAAAAGTAATTTTCTGTTTTGTTTTATTCTTGGATCGGGCTTTAAAGAGTTAAAGGTCAATTTTTACATTTAATAACTGTATATCATATTGTTTTTGTCCTGTCGTATCAGCTGTTTGATTCTGATCACTTGATGCCAACTGTTGCAAATATGCAACACACCATCTGTATCTTGCATACAATAACATAGCATGTGAATTTCCCCCAATGCCATTTATTAAACATTCAATACAGACATAAAAACCTTTAGCAATTAGTTATTTCTTTTGTGACAAGTTGCTGATTGTTTATTTTATTATTCACCATTATGTCTGTTGTTAAAAAAAAATCCAGCATACCTAAATTTTTATTCATTCTTTTGAGCAACAGTCAAAGAATATTTTCTTTGCAGTTATTAATGGCAAAAACTTGATTGCATTTCATTTATTTATCTGAATGTATATAAATCCAGGCATCAATGTGTTAAATATTAAAGAGACAAACTTTTTCAAAATAATCTAAAAGTGATTATCTTTACCCAGTTAAGAATATGTAAACACTCACAGTGATACATTTTTAAGTTTCTGGAAAACTCTCAGTAAATGGTTCAGGTGAAACTGGCTTGACTTCTCTCAGTTCCCCTTTCAGTTCAGCGAGGGCCACATCTTCTGGAATAACTAAGATATTAACATAAGTCAGAAAAATAAAATTTAGAAGTGCATCAGTAGTAACCGTCAGGCTTGGTTCTATGTATAGAAAGTTTAAAACCTAATTTTGTACCTGGTGAGTCGCGGTGGGAACCAACTGGCATCAGCTGAACTCCAACCACAAGAACGAGGAGCAGGAACAAAACCTGGGCTTTCATTTTCTCTAGGAGTTACGCACTGATCAGATTAATCCCGTTTGATTTATTTTCCACAATGTACCATCATCAAAAACAGATCTAAATGATAACTCACCTCAGGTGCAGCACATGAGCCGTATGTTATCAGCTGATCTTTACCAGTTAAGGGACTGATGTCGTGATTGGAGCTTAGACGTACCGGTCTAACAGGTGTGAAACTAGGCGTGTTTCTGAAGCACTTTAAGAATGTGCCCAGGTCACTTTTAGATCTAGTTTTATTTTGCAGAAATAGTTCCCTCCTTCTTTGGTTTCTAAAACAACATGGGGCATGGGAAAACATCCCTAAGCTAGTCACATGTGGCTGAATGGTTTATGTCACAGAGAGCTTTTATAATAAAAATAAATACTCATAAAATTACTCTTTATTGTACCTTTAAAAGTTGGCAGCCTCATTGGTAGTAGATTTAGTAGGTTGATTAGCATTGTCTAAGAACCTTTATCTCAGTCTCAACAGTAACAACAGAAGAGAAGAGAATATTTTAAAAAAGTTCAGGAACTTATTGCAGTGGTTCTCTTTGAAGGTTGGCTTTGATTAGAAGTGAAGTTTATAAAGATGATCAAATATTGAAACAACCCCAAAACGTTCTCCAATGTTAGCATGTGGCCACCATGGTGACACAACAATGCTCTACACCAGAGGTCTTCAACAGGGGGTCGGCGACCCCTAGAGGGCCCACGGAGGTACTTTGTGGAGGTCACGAAAGCTTTGGTTGATTAACCTTTTTTTTTAAATCCCCCCCTGCAGTATTTTCCACTAACTGAAATGTCTTTAAATCCACATTAACATGAATTCAACACACTGTAGTAAACAGAGAAATGAAGCAGAAGATGTCTTTCAGTCATCAATGCACACATTCAGCGACACACAGGAGCTCTTTCAAGCTGGGCACCGTTTCATTCACAACACCTGTCCAATCAACCAGGAATCAGAATCAGAGATACTTTAATAATCCCAGGATACAATTACTTTTGTTTTATTACTCCATCTGTAATAGAGTTACTATAGGACCAGTTTGATATAGCACAATTTTAAACAATATAAATAATTAGGGGGTCCCATCTCCATCTTACCATCAGTTTGGGGGTCCTTGGCCTGGAAAATGTTAATGACCCCCTTTTCTACACTGTATGTGTAGTGTTGAAAAATATTATCTTATAAATAGTGAAAAGTAGTGAGTAAGAATGACTAAATGATACATAAAAAAGAAAAAAAAACTGCTTAAAAAACAGACTAATTTTAGCTATCAGACATTGAAACTCTCAAGGACAACTGGAACTAATCATTCGATTTACCTCAGAACCGGTAGGTCAGAGTGAATATTGTCCGAGGTGACGGCGTTCCAGTTTCCCGTTAATAACGGCTCCTATTCTCCACTGTTTGTATACCGTCACCATAGCCACTGTTACTGTATTTGTACATACAAATAGCATTGAAACAGTAAAAAGGAATAAATTTTGGACTGACTAAATACTGTATAAATAAGAGAAAACAGCTAAAAACAGTCAAAGTAATAAATATTACAAATGATCAAATTAGTCTCCTTCGTGAATGCTGAAATCAGGTCCTGTCACCCTGATAGAGTGCATTAGGATTCTAGCTTTCAGTACAAATGTTCTTGAATAGGTACATAACGGTTTGCTTGTGACCCATAATTTGAGTGCAGGCACACTCATGGACAGGATATTGCTGCAAGCCTCATTGAAAGTTCTGAATAGTTCAACTTTAACGATGATGAATGCACATGCGTCCGACAGAACCCAGAATGTCCAGCAACATACTGGAAAGACCAGGAACTAAAATAAAATAAAATTTAATATTGATTGTGAATTCCCCATACTTCCTGACTCAAGTCTGCGACTGAGGTTACTATGGAAACACAGCTCTTTTACAAGCTAGAAAAACTCATTCAGCTCTCCGGACCTCAGGTTTCATGCACCCACAGCCTCTTCTTCCTTACAAATGACTACGGAAAAAGCCGCCACCCAACCAGCACATTGTCAATGGTTAAACCCTGCGGCACGTGCAGCACAAACCATGTCCTGTCTGAAAGGCCCATTTGGCTGTCACAAATTTTGCTTATTGCATATTTTACCACTTGTAACTCATTGCCTTTTTTTTTTTCTTTTTTTAATCTAATTCTCATTGTCCTCTCTGGGATGTATATGCGCATCATTTTTCCCCTAATAAACACATACTCAGATATATGAAGAATTTATTTAGAGTTTTGTTTTTCTACAAAAGAAAATCTTTAACAAAAACATTACAGCACTTCCTATGAAACAACATTTTAGGTTGCTATTATAGTAGTTAAAGAAAAATATAAATAGGAAGATAAGTGGAGCATGATGCACATGTAACACATTTACATACCATTTACATACAGAGAATGCACAAATTAGCGTTCGTTAGCGAAAAATAACGATGGACAAACACGCATCGGGAAAAGCTTTTCTAGATGGTAACAGAAATGTTCTGTTTGCTATAATACTGACATTTCAAATCTGCTCTAACTTAAACACCATCCTCATTTAAAATGAGACGCAGCAAGGCGATTGGACTGATTCAGCTCTACAGCGCCCTCTGGTGATCAGGGATGTAATTGGATTGCTTACAGGGTCAGAAAAGATGTTTTTTCATGAACGTATGAAATTTGTCACATGTTAGTTATCACTAATAAAGAGCTAAGGGCCTCCATCATTATTAAAGTTTTATTTTTTTATATGAAGTGGAGACCTTTCCCTTAACCAGCAGAATGGAAGACACATTCAAGACCATCCTCTACATCTATATAGAAAAAACATGCTTTGGAAGGGTTCAGTAAATTCGATCAAGTTTATTTTTGTCATACAATTCTAACCATTTGGAGGAATTTATTACAATTTAAGATGGATTTAATCGCAGCTTAGTTTACTTTAAAGTATATGGTTAGTTTGGGGACGGGTTGTTGCAACCATCCCCAAGCTAAACATCTTACGAATATTGTTAAAATGAAAATAGCCCATTTGTTCCTCTATAAATAGTATGGGCAAATAGCAGACAGATTTAAGGTTAATATAAATACATTGTTGTTTTAGGCCCATTAATCTCTTAAGTGTAGAGAAAAGTAAAAAAAAGTTTTGTTAATGTTCCAAGTTTCCACTATATTAAATGAACAGCAAGACAAAAAGATAAACCAGTATGATATCAGCATAAATCATGGATGCTTTTAATACTTATTTTGCATGTGGAATGTTAGAAAAGGTTTGACCAAATTATATTATTCAAGCAGAGAGCAACAGTCAGCAGCAACAACAATGAGAACAACCTATTGATTAATAACCAACATGTGACTTTATCTTTAGACAATGTTTTATTCCAATATCACAGATTTTGCAGGCCAATATAATCTGATATTTATTTTTGTCTGATATCAGATATCCAATATCAATATTGGATTGGGACATCTCTAAATGATAAAACTGAAACCTTTGCAGGAAAATTATTTTTACTCATTTTATTTAAACATAAACTGTTGTTAATCCTTAATAAATAAATAAAAATAAAGAATTAACGGTCAAAACAGTCCTGTAAACCCCAATTTATTTTTATTTTTTTAACCAAATGAATGATTAATTTCTTTCTCTCCGATAAAATCTCCCTTTAAAAATCGAAAAAGGAATTTATTTGATAAAATGTGCCTTAAAATCACACCGCTGATCACCGGACTGATATCTGCACTACAGCTACAGAGCTGGATCCAACAGTGAGGATGAGGTGGAGGGAAGCTTTTAGGCACATCTTTTAACAAAACATTTCAGTAACAATGAGCATTTTACAAGTAAAGGTATAAATGCTAATTACACGAAACAAACTATTTTAAAAGTTACAAACCACATTTTTAGAGTTATTAAAGCTTGGTCGACTAATGACTTCCTGCTTTAATAACCAGTGATTAAAATGATGTCTACAGGTCTTAGTGTCTCCAGGAAAACTGGGGTTTTTACTCCCCATACTACCTCCACACAAACGCCGCCTCTTTGTCTCTGTACATGCAAGACGGAATCATTGAAACAAGGAAGGACAAGTGGATCTGAAAAGCTTTGGGATTGTGGAAACGAAGAAACAGAGTCATTGGCAGTTATTTAGGTAGAAAACATTATGGTTGAGATTTTGGTGGGAATATTTAAAATATTTTCATTAAAGTTATAGAGTAGATTTTAGAGTAAAACAAAAGGGAAGTTCTTGTATCTGTTTTACGTGTTCAAGGTTTGCATTTAAACTGAACTATATGAAGGGGGCTATAACTCACAGCAAAGCCACGAAATGACTACGGCAGGACGAAGCACAGACCTGCAAATTGAGGCAAACTACTCTGAGTAGTCTCGGTTTTGTTGTATTTATGCATTTATTACGGCTGCAATTCTTTAAAACAGGAATAAATTCTTGCCGGCAGGTAAAATTTGATCTTTATCAATACTATTACAGTAGTAGCCATTCAAAATTTCCCCACTTTCCTTGATGGGCCCATGACTGGTCCCTTTTTAAACATCAATTTTTGTACTTAAATATTCTTTCGGTCATGATTTATGGACACTAAGATCTAAAGAGAAGCGTCATCTCCTGGTCAGACCCTGTAATTCAGTGAAAGGGTGGATTCAGAGTAAAAAATATGCAAGTAACTGCAGTGGCTGGAAGATGGAGGGGATTTCGCTGTGCTGCCATTCGGCTGGCATTTGACTGAGAAGGGCCATTCTGAATGGCTGCTACTGCATGGTGTCCAGCATATGTTTTCTGCATTTGTATTCATACCTAATGCAGTCCGCACCAGTATCCTTTTAGAAGCGGACCACCGAGACCAGCTCAAAAAGTGGGTCTCAGGAAAAGTTGGGGAAAGGAACTCTGGTCTGTTTAAAGTTGACCCAATGTGACAGGTGTGAATGCAGCCTAAATGTTTTAATATCAAGAATATAATGGTTCCTTCAGAGTTGCTGGAAGCATCTCTTTTAGTAATCTGTCTTACAGCAGAGCTGTAGAAGCCTCTGATGGAGCTAAAACTAAAATAAGTCAGTCAGACTGGATGCTTTGAACATAAACTGTCCCATTTTGCCACGGATTCTATATTAGATTTTATTGGATCATAGGAAACATGTGTTGCATTTGAATTTATTTAGGGATATCGGAGTAAATGGGGCTGAATACAAACTGAATTCTGATTTTTTTTTTTCAAATATTTTATTTTCCTTCTCCCTTCAGGTACTTCATTCTTGCAGCAAAAGTCTCTGTTTCTGGAGGAACAGTTTGTTAAAATCTACAGTTTTGTGTGTTAAAGTCTCCATTGCATCAGGCCAGCCTCTGGCGATGGCAGGCTTAAAAGCTACATGTCGCTGCTTGGTTCCAGTTTTAGCGCAATATTAAAACCAGAGCCCTTAATAGGAAGTGTTTCAACAAAAACAGAGCAAGCTGAGCCTCTCTCCAATCGGGTTCTGAGAAGATTTAACATTCAACGTTGGATTTTTGACCCTGCTGCTTTACTAAAAGCTTTAAATAAAACACACAGGAAGAACAGGCAGCTTCTTGGTTACTTCATAATAGCCTGGTGAGACCATCCTGATCTCGTGAGCTTTCAAGATTTCACTCGCAGATCAGTCTGGAGACTCTCCGTTGAAGAAAATTTGGAGCCGTTCACCAAACGAACGTCCAATCAGCGTTGGCTTTGAGACGGGTTTAAGGTGTGACGCAACGAGAAGCGCGACAGTTCAGTCTAAAGAACATGGCGGCTTCAGCCGATGAAACTAGCGTTAGCAAGTTTTATCGGAATGACACTGTATTTCTTCACTGCTCTTCTCCCGACTGGTTTCGCAAAGAGTTTGATCTATCAATTGGCTCCTCTTCGTCGTCGCTCTGTTAGTACGTCATATGCTTCATTGATCTGATTGGTTTATTTGGCCCGTCTATCACCAACATAGGCCAATCAGTTAACCAGTATTTTTGCCCCTTCCCAAAATTACTTCTACGGAAGGTTTCCAGATGGATATGCGGAGCAAATCCATCTGGCGGAGTCAGGTTAACTTCATAATGCTCTTATGACAAAGTCGGTACTTGTACTTGTTAGGTTATTACCACCTTAAAGGAAATTACTGAACAGGTAAAGCAGTTGCTGATAAGAAGGACATGGCTCCCTAACGTCTCAATTCCGGCTCAACTGATACAGGTTTTTAATTGATTATCTGTATTTTAAAATGTAAAATACTCCAAATGATTTAATATGAACTGGATTAGTCAAAGGATATATTTTGTAATACATAGTTTAAGATTTAGAGAAGAAGACAAAATTTACCTACAAAATATTGCCAAAAGTATGAGGTCACCACTCCCAATCAAAGCATGGAGGCAGCCAGACTGTATGAGGTCAGTGTGGCCCTGTTTTAAGGTGCCAAGTGATAAAATATCCAGTTGTGAAATTTCCTTGTGAGCAAATACTCCAATGCTAGGTTTTGGTACCATTTTACAGAATAATAGGTGAATAGGAATGACAGCAACCTATCCTCCAAGTGGTAGTGCAGATAAAATTATGACACTGTGGGCAGAGCTAGAGGATAGCTACAGGTCTTCAAATGTTAAAAGACCTTTAGATTAGCTCACAGACGGTACATAGTGAGCATCAACCCCCAATTTACACTTTGTGTCCACCCTCTAATATAGATGATGTCCGCTCCATTGCAGTGCAAAGCCCACAGGCGCTCCAAGGAACATGTGCAGATCACGCATTAAAAGCCTGTCAGCATCGATTTAAAACGCTAAAACTTTTTCATCTTTTGGTTTTTTTTCAGGAGTTTTTATTCCACAAATAAAAACTGAATGCAGAGAACCTGTGTTGTTTTTATTTGTGTATTTCAATTGTTGATTATTTACGTATAGTAATATAGGCTGCCCAGCATTAGATCTAATGTGCGTAGTTGATAATATACACACATATATAAAAATATTTGTAAATTTTAAAGAAAATATAACCATCTGTAGTAAAAATCTGGATGTTATTAATCTTCTTTTTATGGATGGATGGATGTGATTTCTGATATTTACTGTGGCATCCGGCAAAAATAGTTTCAAATCGAATTTTTACAGGTACGCCGTCCACTCCTCGCTGTTTATGGAGGACCAGCTCTGCCATATTTAAAAATAAATACAGAAATAAATAAATGCTCAATAAATAAATAAGCATACAATTAATGGTCCCCAAAAATACAATAAACAAATAAATGTAGGTAGAAATTAAATGATACAGTGAGTCATAAATGTATATATCTTTTTTAACTAGCTTCTTTTCTTTATTCGCCTTTGTAATAACTACTTTATTTATATATTGTCCGTTATAATTTTCAACCTTATTCATTAATTACTTATTTTTTTTATGTATTTATTTATGCCCATTGGTTGGTTAGCATTTAAATAAATAACACAAAAATAAAGCAGACGAAATATTGTAACATGCACATAAATCAATAAGGTTATTATTACAAAGAAGCTAATTAAGAGATATGTACATTTATGTATCACTGTATTATTTATTTCTACATTTGTTTGTTTATTGTATTTTTGGGGGTAATTAATTGTTGGTTTATTTATTTATCGAGCATTTATTTATTTCTGTATTTATTTTTAAATATAGTAGAGCTGGTGCTCCATAGATGTTGTGCCAAGACACTAAATGCTTCTATTGATTATAACAGTTGTGTATTTGGTGAGGAAAGATCTCTCAGTGTTTGGTCCTGTTTTCAATCTGATTCAGAGCAGAGGAACTGAACTGGATTTCTCATCAAACATCAGTTTCTGACCTAAGAATTTGTTTTTCTGGAAAGCTGAAGCGAGGCAGACAAAATGTTAAACCCTTTGGATTAAATCACTCCTATTCCAAGGTTTGTAAACACAGACCAACACATACCTTCGGCAATATAGTGTACGTTTTTTTATAAGTGTTCATATTTATATGTTATTATTGAAAATATCACTTTATTTTTGGAAATGATTTTGCATTAAACCGAGGACTTAGTGGGCGAGGTTTTATATAGGAACCACTACTAATGTCTACAGCCTATAACGACTTTAGCTCTGTGCTGTTCATGTAACATAAAACTAGAGGAAAAGTAAAGAAAGCTGAAATATTAAACTCTGTCTTTTAAGCATCCTAATTCACGAAACAATAACCTGGAAAAAAAGGAACCATGTAGTGAAGCAGGCAGAGCATCCTCTCTGGATGAGCCACCTGGAAAAAAAAAACAACCAACCAGGCGAACAGTTTCTCTTCTGGCAAATTTGCCACTGCAGCATAGTGGTTCCCCACGGCTTCTGTGCCTATGTTCTGTTGGCAGCTGTATGGAAGAAGTTCACACATTGTTGCTTTCCACTGTTTGGTGCACAGCTGCTCCTAGCAAAGTGTTAGTTTCAATAACCAGGGGCCAGCTGAGAGCTTAGGTGAGCAAAACAAATTAATAGTCTTAGGAGATCTGGCCGGCTGGGAGTTGCTGGGAGTTTTCGCCGTAGTCCCTCTCCGAATGGTGTTTATTAAGGTCACATGGCATGAGAGGGAGGGGCTGCCCCTGCTCAGCCAGCACTGCCTCGTAAGGTGGTGCTGCCTCCAGGGGGAAGGAAATAGATGCAACGTGTTGCTGCTCCCCCTCATGCAGTCCCAGGGAATAGTGGGAGGAGGAGGAGGAGGTGGAGGAAGGCCAGGCAGCGCTGGCTGACGTCTCCCCACAGCGCTGGGAGGCATCTGGACCGGAGTGTGTGGGATGCTGTTCTGGCTCGGCCAGGCTCTGACAGGGGTCCAGCAGGGAGTAGGGAGGCGGGTCATCGGTTGGGATGTAGATCTGAGTGGAATCTGGTCCGACACACTCCTCATAGCTGTGGAGACAAGTCAGAGGGTGAATTAGTAGAAATGCGGGGGGAGGGCGGACATAAAAATAGGAGTTAAAATACAGTGTGTTATAGCTTTCAAAACATTTCCACAAGGAAAGAGATCAAACTTTGATATATTTCATTAAGACTTTAGGCTGTTATACCAACACAGAGAGATGAAGGTGAAAGACTTCTCCTCTGTGATGAATGGTAGTGGCAGCACCATGCTGTGGGACTGCTTATTCATTAACAAGGACAGTAAAACTGGTTAGAGTTGTTGGGAAAAAAAACAAAAAACGAGGCAATTTTAGAAGGAAACCTGAAAAAAGCTGCAAAGGATTCGACTATGTGCTCAAAGAAGAGAAGTGGATGGGAGAATAGGAGTGTGGCTTGCGTGCACACACTAAAAAATGATATTACCCTTTTGAATTTTTTTCCAATCTGGCATCCTCTTTCTAAAAATCATCATTTAGTGTTCTCCAAACACGTCAAGTCTCTTGGATCCCTCTATATCACCAGGATTCTTTCTGCCAAAAACCTTATTCCACTAGAAGTATTTTCAGATTGGAGCCATCAAGTGGAAAGGTTGTTATTTGCAGAAACCTTCAAAGGTACACTTCCTCTCATCTCCATGAGGACAGAGCCCGAATCTTCCTAAAAAGTCGCAACGAATCGATAAATCCTAACCCGAATGTGGCAAATAACCCAATACCATAGTGAAAATCCTTTTGGTAAACTTTATAAACACACTTATAGAGATATTAAACAAGCTAACTTGCATTCCTGTTTAGCTAAAGCTTTGAAACTTCAGAAATGTATCCAAGCATTGCACAAACTAAAGCTTTGATATTTAAACTGCAGTATTTGCATTAATGTATTACCAATCGTCCAGGGTATTAGAGTTCATAAAAAGCAAAGATAATCACACCTAAAAAAATAAAAAATACAATATGGGAGAGTTTACTTGACAATTAAAACCAAACAAGCTCTAATTCTGTCACATCTCACATTTCTTTGGATGTAAAAATGACGTTTCTAGCCAGAGTTCAAAACCCTTCTCCTTGAGATCAGGGGCCTTGCATATTTTAAAAGTACCTCTGCAACTGAAAACCCTGTTTCAAATGTTTTAGCAAATGACTCGCATGTTTAAATGTTTAAACGGGTGTAGAAGGACAGTTTTTCCTCCTGTAGCAGCTCAAGAGATTTATATGACAAAGTTTACAGGAAAACAGGTCCTTTAAAACTAAATAAAGCAGAAAATAATTAAATTGAAAGATAAATGTGTTGTGTTGTGTCTGTTTGGCAAGAGGTGGATTAGGATGGGTTATAAAGAAGCTATTATAGGGA